TGATTCGTGTGGATGGGTTATGGGGTCAGGTACAGATGACGTTGGTGTGTGTGTATGGCCCAGCAGAGGGAGATGTACGGGTAAAGAATAAATTTGTGAGGGACGTTCTGGTATATTATTTGCATGGATTGCCGGGGGTCGCTGTGATAGGATTGATTGGAACTGTGTGATAAGGAGTATGGATGTTGAACCGAGGGGGGGCAAGGCATTGTTTGAGAATATTGGGAGAATTGTTATCCGGGTAGGATTGATCGATGTTGGGGGAGGTGGGGTGGTGGAGCACACATTTATAAAGCATGGGTATGCGGCTAGGCTCGATCAATTGTACGTGCCCAGGACAGTCGTAATACATAGTGTGAGGGTAATGGACATAGTATTTACTAATCACAGGGGTGTTTTGGTGGATATAGGTTGGGTGGGATTGCCAAGAAGGTGTAAGGGGTTTTGGAAGTTGAATGTAAAGTTGTTGCAGGAAAAAGAGCCTCGACAGTCATTTGTTCAATTGTGGGAGGAGTTGGTGGCGGAGCCACCTGGGAATAGTGATCTGGTTAGTTGGTGGGACTCCGTGGCGAGATCTCGTATTAGGGAATTTTATATTCGTAGTGGGAGGGAATATACCAGGTTGAAGTATGGGTACCAATCTTATCTTGAGGGGCAGTTGAGAGCTTGCTACAAGTGTGGGAGTGCTAGTTATCCGGTGGACGATATTGAGGGATTAAAGGAGCATATTAGAGATTTGCAAAATGAAAGATTTGATGGACCGCGAGTTTTGGGTGGGCTGGAAGAGGTGTTATGGGGTGATAGGCCTTCGGCATGCGTGTTGAGGCGACAGCGTAAGAGAAGAGTGGCGACGGAGATGATGGGATTAACTGTTCATGTGGGGATGGAAGGGTATAGGGAGGGGCAGGTATTAGTGACGACTGAGGGCATGACTGAATATCTAGATGCATGGTTTAGGTCATATACACAAAACGTAGGTATTCGAGATGAGGCTTTAAAGGAAATGGGAGGTTTTGTGGAATGTGAGATTGATGGTACAGATAGGGTGACATTAGAAGGTCCGATCACGGAAAGTGAGATTTCGCACACTTTGTCTGGTGCAAGTTTAGGCAAGGCGCCAGGTGTAGATGGGTTGCCTAATGATATTTACATTAGGAATTGGAAAGTATTGAGAGGATTTTTAGTTAGGTTATTCAATGTAATGAAGGATGATGAGAAATGGGTGAGCAGCAAAGAACTGCTGTCGTGGTATTAGTTCCGAAAGTTGGACAGACAACGGTAGAGGATTACCGAGCAATATCGCTTATGTGTGGCGATTATTAGTTATTTGCACAGATATTAGGGAATAGAATCAAAAAGGTGATAGGTAAAGTAATTGACAGAGGACAATATGGGGTACTGGGTAGGACAATGTATGAAGGGCATGGAGTTATTAGAAGTTTTATAGAGCAGAGGGGGGAGTTGGGGGGTGGGGGTGTTTTGGCATTGGATTGGAGAGCAGCTTACGATAGTGTAGAGAGGGATGCGTTATGGAGGTTCATGCATTGGCAAGGATTTGGGAGGGAAATCATATCTTGGGCGAAAACATTGTATCAGGGAGCATCTATGAGAGTACAGGTTAATGGAAGGTTAAGTGTTAACATTCAGATGGGAAGGGGTTTGCGACAGGGATGCCCTCTGTCGCAAATATTGTTTGCATGCCTCCAGGAACCCTTTTATAGGGCAGTTAGGTGGAGTATCGCAAGTGGAGGGGTTAGTAATGAACGAGAGGGTTGGGCGGGTATTGTGGGTTATGTGGATGACACGACTGTATTGGTGAGGGATGAGAGGGATTTACACAAGGTAGGAAAGGTGGTAGATGTGTTTGGCGAGGCTACTGGGATGGAAATTAATGTGGCAAAGTCTAAGTATATGGACCTAGGCAATAGCGTAAATGGAGGTGGGACTGTAGGGGGTGGGTGGAGTGTGGTGGATCAGCTATTGATTTGTGGGATAGAGTATGTTAAGAATGATAGGGTCGCGCAAGAGGTAAATTCGATGCACATGTGGATGGGGTTTTGAAAAGATTGGGTGGTTTGAGGACGGTGCAGCTAACGTTGCATCAGAGGGTTATTGTGACGAATGTCCTGTTGTATAGCAAGCTATGGCACGTGGTGGCAATATACCCACTGAGGCAGCCAGAGGTGCAACGGTTGCAACATGGGATTTTCAAATTTATATGGGGATCGGGTTGTGACTGGCTAAGTAGAGGGGTGGTGATGCTTCCCGTTAGCCGGGGGGGCTGGGGCTCATACCTTTAGAAAAGCGTATGATGAGTGTGTATCTAAAATGCGGCTATTTGAGGGAGGTGGGGGCGAGGAGAGGGGGGCTAGAAAGACTGCGTATGGATATGCAAAGATGGTGAGGGGGTAGGGATTTAATGATTGGTGAGGCCATGTTGCGGATTTTAATGACGGTGAGGAATCCGGAGCGCCTCAAATTGAGGATTCTTGAGAGGGTGGGGGTGGGTCTTGGTGGCGGCAGTTGAGGGGGCATACCCCATGTATGCCTGAGGGAATATCTGGAAATGTTTACGGCAATTGCATGTTAAACCAGGTGTACGGGAGGTAATGTTTAGGTTTCTACATGGAATCTTGCCGTCTGGTGTTGTGTTATTTAATAGGAGACTAAGGGAGGGTGGGGAGTGCAAGGCGTGTGGATGTTCGGAGACTATTTTTCATGCGGTGTATTTTTGTAATTGTTTAGAAGCTGTGAGGGTATGGTTAGGTAGGGAAGTTAGGTTAGTGGGTGGGGAAGGGTTACAGGTGTTAAGGGTGTTAAGTTTAGATATAGGTGGGATGAGTCAGATGGTGGTGAATGCGGTTGCGTATGTGGTCACTGATTTTATTTATACGTCTTGGGCCATGAGGGAGGTGGGTGTGAGGGAGGTGGGTGTGAGGAGGTGGGTGTGAGGGAGGTGGGTGTGGATGAAAGAATAAAGGTGTTAGCGGCCACCATTTATAGAACTAAGTGTCGCAATAGGGATCTTTATGGGGGAAGGTGGGAGACAGTGTTTACTGAGGGATACTGGAGTTTTAAGTTGAAGGATTTACGGGATTTAAGTGTAAAGGGGTAACGACGGGCTAGTTTCTTGAGTGGGGATGTGTGGATTGCTTTTAGAGTGTGTGATTGGATTTGTATTGATACATTTATGCTTTTCCTGTACTCACCTATTTGTGGTTGCAGGGGTCGAGTCATAGCTCCGAGTGTGGTGTGGGTGGTGGTATTACACATGTGTTCCCTTTATGTTGTGAAGATTTTGGATAGTACATGTACGTAGTGTATTGGAGCACTACATCATTGTCTGTATATAAGGTGAGTGGAAGGGTAGAATCTTACAGTATTTGTGTGTGTGAGAATGACTGTTCGTTATTGTGAGAGTGTCTTCAAAGATGTTATATAAAGCACATACTACGTGGTGTTACTAAGGTCTGCCATATGACTGTTTAGAATATGCTGTGATACAAAGTCCGAGGTTTCCCTTCTTGTAGGAAGCATTCTGTAAGACACAATTTCTGTATATCGGAAGGCTCGGAAGTGTAAATAGCTGTAATGAGCAACGTGGTACAGTATTTAATATTATGCGAGATTGTATTTTGGCACATAAGGCCTAACATATAATGTTTCAGAGGCCTGGTTCAGGTTATATAGTACATGTCGTGTGACACTGTATGTGCAGGGTATTTTAAGTACACGCTGTTGGTTTCCCTTTGCTATTTTAATGTTTCAAGTCACATGTAAGAGTATATGTAAGGTAATATAAAAATGTATATTGATTTTGTGTAAATACATAATTTTAGATGACTTTGTTGGAGCAGGTATGTATGTGAGTTCAAGTAGCGGTTGTATGTCATGTATTAATACTGCTATAGTGTATAAAGTGTATGAAGAAGTCTTGGGTGGATTGCACCCGTGTTGAGATATAGAGTATATTATCCTTGTATGCTAGACAAAGTTTTCATAATTGTTACTTATGAAAATACAATGACATACTATAGTATGTCATTGTTTTGTAGGTATTTGATGAGGGGAGGGAGTACCTTTTTACTTCCAGAGCACATATGTACGACTTTATAAATGTACCTTTGGTGGGGGGTGGATGTATAAGTTTTAATGGTATGTGGTGAGGTTTTTACCTTTAAGAATTGTTTTGTATATAAAACTTGGCATAAGATGTATAAGTGTGCTGAAGTAGATTATCTGGATATGTTGTTGGTACACCTGTGTGAAGTGTACCTTTTTCTTTTTGGATTGTGTATACGTATGTTGTACTTTAATTTTGTTGTTACATGTTGATTGGTTTGGTGACATATATTTGCTTCCATGTATAATGTATAATGTATATTAAATAAAATATAAAAAAAACTTGATAACAAATAACACCTGCACGGTAGCTTCAGAAGATGTCATGTATTGTAGTTACTGAACCACCAGACCTTGACAACACCTGCACGGTAGCTTCAGAAGATGTCATGTATTGTAGTTACTGAACCACCAGACCTTGACAACACCTGCACGGTAGCTTCAGAAGATGTCATGTATTGTAGTTACTGAACCACCAGACCTTGACAACACCTGCACGGTCATTTTGCCCAAATCATCAAATATATTAATAAAAATGTAATTAAAATACTTCGAAAAAAAAATTATAAATAAGCGGATTGCACCAAAATGTTGCCAGAATTACGACAAATTTCGTGTTTTTTCGATTTTATTAAATTATTTCTTATTACACACGCTTATATTAATTAGCATAAAACCTCATCTTTGAAATATTTTAGCTAAAAACAAATAATGTCCAATCATTATAGACATTGTTGGGCAGGATAAAATAGATTTACAGTTTATGAGATGCAAACAAACAAGGACATTCAGCACAGGTATAGTTGGAGGCTCAATACTCCTTTAAATAATATCGAGAGTAACGCACTAACTTTCAGTATTTACTTATCTTTCATTAGGAGCAGATAGAGCAGTATGACAAGGAGACTGGTGGAGCTGTTGACTCCAGTAACTACATCGGTGCCTACCTGAAGGAGATACAAACAGCGCAGCAGGAAAGCAAGGAAACCCCTTACACAAGTGAGTGAGTGTACTCACCTAACTGAACTCACCTAATTGTGGTTGCAGGGGTCGATACTCAGCTCCTGGCCCCGCCTCTTCACTGACAGCTACTAGGTCCTCCCTCTCCCTGCTCCATGAGCTTTATCATACCTCGCCTTAAAACTATGTATAGTTCCTGCCTCCACTACATCGCTAGCCAGACTATTCCACTTCCTAACTACTCTATGACTGAAGAAATACTTCCTAACATCCCTTTGACTCATCTGAGTCTTCAGCTTCCAATTGTGACCCCTTGTTTCTGTGTCCCATCTTTGGAACATCCTGTCTCTGTCCACCTTGTGTATTCCATGCAGTATTTTGTATGTCGTTATCATGTCTCCCCTGACCCTCCTGTCCTCCAGTGTCGTCAGACCGATTTCCCTTAACCTTTCTTCAAAGGATATTCCCCTTAGCTCTGAAACTAGCCTTGTTGCAAACCTTTGCACTTTCTCTAATTTCTTGACGTGTATGACCAGGTGTGGGTTCCAAACTGTTGCTGCGTACTCCAGTATGGGCCTGACGTGCACAGTGTGTAAAGTCTTGAACGATTCCTTACAGAGGTACCGGAATGCTATTCTCAGGTTTGCCAAGCACCCATATGCCGCAGCAGTTATCTGGTTAATGTGTGCTTCTGGAGATGTACTCAGAATTATACTCACTCCTAGGTCTTTTCTTTGAGTGAGGTTTGCAGCCTTTGGCCTCCTAGCCTATACTCTGTCTGCGGTGTTCTTTTCCATCCTCCGATCTTCATGACTTTGCATTTGGCGGGGTAAAATTCTAGAAGCCAGTTTCTGGACCACGCATCCAGCCTGTCCAGGTCCCTTCATAGACCTGTCTGGCCCCCGTCTGATTTAATTCTCTTCATTAACCTCATATCAACTGCAAACAGGGATACTTCTGAGTCTAACCCTTCCGTCATGTCGTTCACATATACCAAGAACAGCACTGGTCCCAGGACTGACCCCAGTGGGACCCCGCTCGTCACCGGCGCCCTCTGTGATACCTCATCACGGACCATGACTCGCTGTTGCCTCCCTGTTAGGTATTCTCTGATTCATTGCAGTGCCCTTCCTGTTATACGTGCCTGTCCCTCTAGCTTCTGTACTAATCTCTTGTGAGGAACTGTGTCGAAGGCCTTCTTGCAGTCCAATAAAATGCAATCAACCCACCCCCTCCCTCTCATTTCTTACTTCAGTTACCTTGTCATAAAACTCTAGTAGGTTTGTGACACAGGATTTGCCTTCGATGAATCTGTGCTGGCTGTCGTTTATAATCTTGTTCAGCTCTAGGTGCTCCACCACTCTCCTCCTGACAATCTTTTCCAAGACTTGGCATACTATACATGTTATTGACACTGGTGTATAATGTAGTGCTTCGTTTCTGTCTCCTATCTTAAAGATGGGGGCTACATTTGCCTTCTTCCATACTTCAGGTAGTTGCCCAGTTTCAAGGGAAGTGTTGAAGATTTTGGTTAGTGGCACACATAGTGTCCCTGCTCCCTCTCTAAGAACCCACAGAGAGATGTTGTCCGGTCCCACTGCCTTTGAGGTATCAAGGTCTTTTAGAAGCTTCTCCTCCTCCTCAGCTGTGTGTAATTCATCCAACACTTATTGGTATATCCCTTGTTGATGTACCCCACTGTTTTGTCTTCCCAGTGTTCCTTCAGCCTCCACTGTAAATACTTCCTGAAATCTCACGTTGAGCACCTCACATACTTCCTGGTTGTTTCTTGTGAGCTCCCCACCTTCTTTCCTCAGCCTGATTACCTGGTCCTTGACTGTTGTCTTCCTCCTAATGTGGCTGTAGAGTAGTTTCGGGTCAGACTTGACTTTCAATGCTGTATCATTTTCACACTGCCGCTGGGCCTCCCTCCTTATCTGTGCATACTCGTTCCTGGCTCGTCGACTAATCTCTTTATTCTCATGAGTCCTTTGCGTTCTGTACTTTTTCCATTCTCTAGAGCACTTAGTTTTTGCCTCCCTCCACCTTCAGGTAAACCAAGGGCTCGTTCTGTCCTTCCCATTATTTCTGTTCCCCTTGGGAACAAACCTTTCCTCTGCCCCCTGCATTTTGTTGTTACAAAGTCCATCATTTCGTTTACTGATTTTCCTACCAACTCCTGTTCCCACTGAACCTCCTGCAGGAAGGTCCTCATTCCTGTGTAGTTCCCCCTTTCATAGTTTATCTTTTCCCTTTCTACTCCTGTTACCCTCTCCACTTTTAGCTCCACGATGTATTTAAAGCTCATAACCACATGGTCACTAGCTCCAAGGGGCCTTTCATATGTGATGTTCTCAATGTCTGAGCTACTCAGGGTGAATACAAGGTCCAGTCTTACTGGTTCATCCACCCCTCTCTTCTCTGGTGGTGTCCCTAACATGTTGGTGCATGAGATTTGGCTCCAGGTTTTTCCAGTCAATCTCCCTGTGATTGAAGTCGCCCATGACCAGTAACTTCTCTCTACTCGAGTGAGCCCTTCTTGCCACCCCAGCTAGTGTGTCCACCATTGCTCTGTTGCACTCATTATATTCCTCTCTTGGCCTCCTGCAGTTCTGTGGTGGGTTATACATCACTGCAATGACTTCCTTGTGTTCCCTTGACTGAACTGTACCTACTAAGTAATCCCTTTCTCCAATTTAGTCCATTCCTTCCATTTCTTAATAACCCCACTGGCTTTTTATTAGTAGTGCAACCCCTCCTCCCCCTCTGCTCCTTCTATCCTTCCTAAGGATCATGTCTCCCTCCTGTCCTCTAATGTCGTCATTCCGATTTCCCTCAACCTTTCTTCATAGGACATACCACTGAGCTGCAGAACTAGCCTTGTTGCAAACCTTTGTACTTTCTCTAATTTCTTGACGTGCATGATCAGGTGTGGGTTCCAAACTGGTGCTGCATACTCCAGTATGGGCCTGATGTTCACAGTGTACAGTGTCTTGCACGATTCCTTATTAAGGTATCGGAATGCTATTCTCAGGTTTGCCATAAGCCCATATGCTGCAGCAGTTATCTGGTTGATGTGTGCCTCCAGAGACGTGCTCGGTGTTATGGTTACCCAAAGATCTTTTTTGTTGAGTGAGGTTTACAGTCTTTGTCCACCTAGCCTATACTCTGTCTGCAGTCTTCTTCCCACTTCCCCAATCTTCATGAATTTACATTTGGCAGAGTTGAATTCAAGAAGCCAGTTTCTGGACCACGTGTCCAGCCTGTCCAGGTCTCTTTGTAGTCCTGCCTGATCCTAATGCAATTTAATTCTTCTCATCAACTTCACATCATCTGCCGCCAGGGACACTAGAGTGTTTCCCTTCCATCATGTCATTCACATATATCCAAAATAGCTCTGGTCCTAGGGCTGACCCCTGTGGGACCCCGCTTGTCACAGGCGCCCACTGTGATGCCTCTTCACATAGCATTATCGTAGGGGTTCTTAAATGGAGACATCGAGGGTTGAAGGTAGACACACTTGTTGGATGGTAACATATATTGTCAGACTGTGATGATGGGAAATGGAGCCCAGCCTCTGCCTGTCCTAGCCTGTGTCAAAACGCCGACTGAGAGGGAGGCAGAGGTACGAACGTACACATGCGCATCCCGTGACGTCACACAAAGTCACAGGTCTAGGGATCTCCTATCTAAAGCACATGGATGATACTGATATGCTATACAACACAGGGATCAGCAACTATGCTGACAGCTCGGTCATGTTACGTATGTCGTCTCGACATACACTACTATCTATAGGCTGAACAGGCAGGTGGTTCTGGGCTGATTCTATACAATAACAAAATCATATATAACTTAGAACTAATGGATGGTATCATACTGGATGTTAACAAAATAAATTTTATGTAATGGGTGTTAACGTAATCACTTTTAACGTAATGCATTACAAACTATAAGAGCAAATCATTGTACAATATGGATGGAATTGATCGATCGATCTGTATTCATGCACTCTATGGATTCTGAGGAAGAATAAATATATATATACAAGGTGAAATTAACAGCAAAGGCATCTGGTGCACACTCAGATCATTACTGTCAAATTCTCAGAATACGGAGGGAACGTGAATACGAAAAAAAAAATCTGAAAAACTAATCAGTTAATAACAAACAGTTGACAATTTACTTCATCTCGGACATCTAGTTATACAGACTATGTACATTTAAACCCAATTCTGCGAGGGTGAGGTTTACATATGCAGAATGTTTATCATCTCTGGGAGGATCGAATTCCTCTGCAATGGCTAACACATGCCTTGACTGAGGGAGACTTGAACGAGTATCTACAAAAGATACTTGTGGGTTTCTCATTACTTGTCGAGTATGCAAGGAGTAACGACATTCAGGTTGATTATCTAACTGAGTATCTGAGGTAGAGGGTACAGAGTCAGGAGGATTTTCAGCATCTGTCACATTAGTCTGGGTAGCAATATCATCAACATCGCATACTAATTTCATATGATCTAAATGCGATTCTTTGTACTTACCAGTACTAATTTCTCTAACCTTATACTTATTACCAGAGATATGTTCTACAACTCGATAAGGTCCGACAAACTTTTGATCGAGCTTAGGCATTTCGGATGTTTTGTTGAAATTTGTCAGCATTACTCTCGAACCTACTTTTACTTTTGATGGCTTAGCACGGCTATTAGTTACTCTAGTAAATTCTGCTGTTGATTTGTGAAGTGTTTCATGGATTCTTCTAAAAACACTTTGAGCCACGCTGGTACGAGTTGCTACGAAATCATCAGGGTTGTAATTAGGTTTTGGAGTGGAATATAACAACTCATAGGGTAAACGCTTGTCTACACCATACAATGCATAATGTGGAGTATCACCTATGGAAGCATTGTAAGCAGAATTTATGGCACATTGGACATCTGGTATAACTTCATCCCAAGTTTCACTGTTGGGGTTGATAGTGGCTCTCAGGACATCAAGTACGTTCTTATTGGTTTGTTCTGCTAACCCATTGC